AAATGTTTACGACACGTTTACTATTAAAAATATCAGGGGATTCAGTTTGGTTGTTTGATATGGTTTACTTTTATTTGTTCATTGGTTGAGTAGATATTCAGTTCCTGTCTTGCGTCAAAATCGAAATTGACGGGAAAATAATAAAGCACGAAGCAGGGTTTAGATATCTAGGAACATAGATATAACTAGTTACGGAGATGTTGAAGAAGAAGTACGACAAAAAAGCTTAAAAACAAGTAAAGCGGCGGGTTCTCTTAATGACACAATCTGGAAGAACAAACACCTAAGTCAAGACACAAAAACAAGAATCTATAAAGCAGCAATTAGACCTATATTAACATACACGGCAGAGACAAGACCTGACACATCTAAAACGAGACGACTGCTATAAACAACAGAGATGAAAATACTTCGACGAATATCAGGAAGAAGTCTGTTGGATAGGAAGAGAAGCGAAAACATGCAATGTAGAAGACATAAATGGATGGGTGACAAAACGAAAACAGGAGTGGAAAAAACACATCAGTAGAATGGCAGAGGATAGAATAGTACGAATAGCACGAGATAAGTCACCAAATGGACAAATAAGTATTGGCAGACCAAGAAAAAGATGGTGCGACAATTTAAACAATTTAGGAGGCTAATATTGAAGAAGAAACAGGCTTTGCCTACATACTAGAAGGAAGAAGAAGAAGAAGTCTTGCGTCGAAATTTCTCTGTAGGTCAAGAATACATTTCACTCTTCTGAGAAATGTCATTTTGCTAGTTTCATTTGTAGAGTAATATTTTTGCGTATTTTGGATGTTAATACTCTTCCAAAATTTGGGAAGGAATTAGATCTATTTGACAGCATATAATTGATCATAGACCTTCCCATTCTTCATTTCAATCTTCGTAAAATTGTATATTGTGGATTGAAATATTTAAGCAACTGTTTTTTTGAATGGCAACAACAGGATCCCAATTTTTGTATAACCAATTGCATACCACAAATTGCGTTCTTCCGCAGGTCTAATCATTTGAATGTTTACCGTATAACAGAGTTTAATTAACTAATAAATACATTTAATGAATTAATTAATTGATTTATAGGTCACATTTAAAATGTAATTAAACCAAGCAAACATTAAACCGAAACCGATAACAAAAAATAATCCATTTAATATTTCGAACGCTATAGAGAGAGATCCGAGCTAGTCCGATAAAAAGTTCGCTGATATCTGCGTCGATGCGGTGTAAACGTTTTTAATTTTTTAGATTCGTGAAATTCCTCACGGCATTTCCAACTTCATGCTTCCATTTTCGATGTATTTGCAGAAATATTTTTCTCTACGAAAGCTTTTAAAGAGATCTTATTAAGTCACGTTTAAATGTGTATTCATACTATTAGTATTTATATTACCGTTAATAAAAGTTGTAGGTTTATTGACTTCCTTTAAATATGATTATAAAATTTACACATTTAAAATATAAACATTTTCCATGTTTTTACTAGTTGAGTATTTTCGGAGGTTAAGCTCTCACGGATTGACTTTATTTCAGTTTTCTATTTTTTTGCAAAAAACATTACATCCAATAAATAATTGAAACCTAGAGGTGAACTGAATGAAGACAACTTAGGCAGACTTATTTAATCAAACTAATGTATTAGAATGTGAGGTATTATTTTCTGATAAAGTATCTTCTGTGCATGATACAGAGATTAAATAAAATTTAATCACCGTTATGGGGCAACAGAAAATTCTAATTAGACGATTGAAGCTTATAGCTAATATACTCAACAAATAATTCTGTAGATGGCCGTGTTTAGAAAAAAAATGTCTTCCTCTTCTTCTTTTGGTGCCTATTATCTGTGGATGTTGGCAATTACGTTGGTCCATACAACTTTATTGACAGCTGCTCTAAATAGATATATGATAGTTATTCCTGCTCACTGTCGGATGTTCTTCAACCACGAAGTCCTACGCCTTTAAGATCTTTTGCCTTCTATCTTGCCTTGTAAAATTAGTTGAATTAGTTGATTAGTACCCATAATTTCAAGATCTTTATTTATACGTTGGATCACGGTGTTGTGTGTAACATGATGGATATAGGAAATTCTGAGCATGTGGCGGTAGAACCACATTTCGAAGGCTTCTAATCGTTTGGATGTTGCCTTCGTCAAGGTCCAGGCTTCGACTCCATATAAAAGGGTAGAAAATACATAGCATCTCAAGCGTCGTATTCTTATATCAATGTTCAGGTGCATATTACATAAAATCTTCCCGATGCCATTGAAGACAGCTCTCGCCTTTTCTATACGAAATCTTATTTTCTGTAAGTGGTCCCATTCTTTATTTATTCTGCATCCAAGATATGTAATTTTGTCCACTATTTTCAAGGGTTTATTATTAGCTGTGAATTGGTGCTGTATTACGTTGTTTTTACTTACTACAAAAATTTTGGTCTTCTTACAGTTTAATTTCATGCCGTATCTGTCACAGGCTTCCACTACACGGTCTATTAATGTTTGCAGATCCTCCACATTATCAGCAATCAAAACCGTATCGTCCGCATATCTTAAATTGTTTATGATTTCACCATTGATTTTTATACCTTCTCTTGAACAATCAATAGCTTCCCTGTATTCGGAGTATATATTTAGAGAAGCATTAGACCAGGTCCAAGGAGGAATTACGATTAACAGAATCAGCATAAACAACATCAGATATGCTGATGGTACTGTCTTAATAGCAAGCAACGAACAAGAACTACAATGCGGTAGTTCACCACAGCGAAATGTTCGGATTACATCTAAACGTTTCCAAAACTAAAACTTTAGTATTTTCGAAGACATCAATAGATGTACATGTGTATGCCAAGGGTCAAATAATACACTCCGCGTCATAGAAAACAGGCCACCCCAATTATTTAAAATATTTTCGAAATTATTATTTATTGCTACAAAAGTAAGCATTTATTTTGTTGTATATTGAATTAAAATTATTTTATTTTTAATGTGCCTTGGGTTATTTAAGTTAAATAGGTTGTTGCGAAAGCAAATCGACCCTGTAACTGGATTGAGGATATTCGTAGAACCTATAAAACAAAACAATTTTGAGAAAGAGTTGTTTACAACTTATCAATTTTCGAGGAAGCTATTTTTTTGAGAAATGTTTAATATTGTAAAGGGTTCTAATTAGTTTTAAACGCATCTCAGTATTACAGTAGCCAACTTAGTGTAAAGTAGTCTTCAGTTAATAACGATGGAGAATTTTCAAAAATTTTAACGTTACTGGGAAGTGGAATAAGTCAAAGACAAGTTGCAAGACAATTGAATGTTAGTCGTTCTACTGTACAAAGGACCCAGCAACGATTTATTGTCACCAGGATCTCACCAACGACGACCTGGTATGGGTCCAAAAAGGAAAACAACCGCTAGGGAAGATCGCGTCTTCCTTCTTGCTGCATCACGGAATCGGACCCAAACCGCTAGAATGCTTCAAGGCCATTTACAGCAAGCTCAAGGACCAGCAATCAGCCTTTCTACTATTCGGCGAAGATTAAGGGAGCAAGGTTTGACAGCTTGCAGTCCAGCAACGGGACTCTTACTTTCCCCAGCTCACAAAAGTCGACGAGTAGATTTTACTCGTGAGTACATCAATTGGACAGCAGACGATTGGAAAAAAGTATTGTTTACGGATGAGTGTAGAATGTCTATTTATGGTAAAAACGGACGTAGTAAGGTGTACAGACGAGTTGGAGAACGTTTCGCTGGTTGCACTCGGGCACCACGGGTTTCTTTTGATGGTGGTTCAGTAATGTTTTGGGCAGGGATTTCTTTTGATGCGCATACGGATCTCGTCGTGATCGACAGAGGTGCGTTAACAGCAGTAAGGTACATAACGGAAATCTTACAACATCATGTGATGCCCTATGCTGGATTTATTACCAACAAATTCCTGCTAATTCAGGACAATGCGAGACCACACACGGCAAGGATAGTAACAGTACCTTGACGAGGTTGGTATTCAAAAAATAGACTGGCCTGCTCAAAGCCCCGATTTAAATCCTGTAGAGCATGGAGCCTGCTAAAAAGTCGCGTTAGGCGTTGCATACCTGCTCCAACAACACCTGGAGAGCTCCAGATGACACTCATTGAGGAATAGGCCACTTTTCCCCAAAGAGATATCCAAATCGTTATAAATTCCATGCCAAATCGAATGAGGAGTGTCATCAAGAGTTGAGGTGGCAATACCCATTACTGAAAATGGATACCAGCTTTATTTTTAATATACAGTTCATTGTTGTTTTAAAAACTGTAAGTTGATTTTTTCAATAAATTTCCTATTTTTCTTAAATTTTTTATTTTCGATTAATATTTTACGATAATGATGAAATCTTATACTAAACGAGTTATTGATTCAATATACGAAAAAATAAATGCTTAATTTTGTAGCAATAAATAATAATTTCGAAAATATTTTAAATATTTGGGGTGGCCCGTTTTCTATTACGCGGAGTGTAGAACAGGTAAACTCAATAAAATATTTGGGAGCAAATATCAATAGTCATTGTAATCCAAAAAAAGAAATACTATCAAGAATCGAACAAGCTAGGAAAACATTCATGAGCATGAAAACATTTTTTACAAGATCAGAAAAAACAAAAAAAAATGTGCTTTTTGAACCTTCTGTCATAATTAAATTATACATTTCCTACCTTTATTTCATATTTTCCTAGAAAAATGATTTAAAACTCATCTTCTAATTCGGTATTTTTTAAAGGTAAAAGATATCACCTTTATCTTCTATGAAGCATCGTTCGATAATCGCTTTTGTTCATTGATGTTATAAACTGTAATTACACAAAAAAATAAATTCCGAACGATATCCACGTTTTCCTTTTATATCTCTCGACTGTGATTGTTTTTAACGAATAAACCGGTGTTTTTCTATCGGCAATTTTATAGAAAGAACAGCGATACTGCCATTATCTATTATTTTATTTATTGTTTTCAGGAAATGATCGTTCCAACAACACCTTTACCGGCTATGGCGGCCACTCCGAGGATAGAACTGGATAATAAATATACCTATAATCTTACCAAGGTAAGGAAAACGATGATTCCTGTAATTTTAGTTTTATTCCACAAGTAATAGTATGATAAAATTATACTCGAGTCGGTGATTAAATAGTAGTACTTATTTTTAATTATTTTCTTAAACTAATTAGGCTAGGTGTGAAGGAATTTAGTAAAATATAGGAACTTAATATTTTCTATATTAAAAAGATGAAATATGTCTATATTTACACATCAAACGATGGATAAACGAAATTAAGAAGGATGCGTCGCTCAGGATCAGAGGTAACGTGAGTTTGGTTCTTTGGATCATGATTACCAGCACATAAACAAAAGAAAAATGAGAAAGAAGAAAAATTAGGAGATGATAGCGACTAGAGCTAAACTAGAAATGTGGGATTAACAATACAAAGAAACATCATAAATAATTTGCCAAAAAGAGCGACACTTGTCTTTTTTGTAAGGTATAAAGAAAGCTCAAAACCAATATACATAATATATAGCCAAATAACCAGTAACAATCACATCTACCTCGTATGCTTGTTCAGCAAACCTGTGGCAATTATTTATTTGTGGTTCAAGAGAAAAGAAGAGTTAGAGAACTTTAAACAATACAAAATGGTTACGTGCAAGCCATATTTATTATTACCCAAAACATATTTAAAAATGACCGGAATCTATATGTTATTCAAAAAATGAAAATTGAAAATTTACTTGTGCCAATCTCATCTGTAGTTTTTCGTTTCTTACAATCTGCATACAAAATTTAGTGTTGCATAGAAAAAACAATAGTGATCAAAACAAAAAAACAACAATATGGACTCAACAATATGGACTCAATATAAACGTTAAGAAGACAAAGCTTATTATAATTAACAAAAAAAGGATAATAGAAGATCAACTCGACGTCAACCAATCCCTTGTAGAAAGAGTGACGCACTACAGCTACCTCGGCATCATAATAATTGAAGAATGGACCAACAACCAGGAGATTAGAGCACGCATCGGAAAAGTTAGATCCTCCTTCAATAGGACGGGGGCCTTCTTTTAAGAGTCATAACCTCTCTCTTGATACAAAAGTAAGAATGCTGCGATGCTACGTATTCTCTGTCCTTTTATATGGTGTTGAATCGTGGACCTTGAACAAAGATATGTGCAAAAAACTGGAAGCATTTGAGATGTGGCTATATCGGAGAATACTTAAGATCCCGTGGACTGACCGAGTCACAAATGAGGAGGTCCTTAGAAGAATGAATAAGAACAGAGAGGTACTGACCGCCATTAAATCTCGAAAGTTAGAATTCTTCGGACACATGCGAAATGAATCCAGATATGCTCTCCTTCAAGCCATCCTACAAGGAAAATTGTTTGGAAAGCGAGGTCCAGGAAGAAGAAGAACATCTTGATTAAAGAACCTCAGAATCTGGTTCAATACATCTGCGCAGCTTTTCCGCGCTGCTGCAGATAAGATAAAGATTGCCTGCCATGATGATCGCCAACATTCGTAACGGATAGGCACATCAAGAAGAAAAACTCTGCACTGGACTCGGTACATGTGAAAGAAAAATAAAAATAATAAAAGTAATAGAAAAAATACATTTACTTTTCCATATTGGCCATCAAACGGAAATATTCAGTTCAATAATTGTCTGCTAAAGCACTATAAAAGAGGTAAAAACTTACTTATTTCACTCTGCTTGCTTTCACTGTAAACTCGCGGGTTCTTTTAATATAACAAAGACTACTTTCTAATATTAACTAACAAAGGTAGGTTTCGTAGCAGTCAAAAAATGTTTCCACTCTCATCTCTGGCAAGTAAACGGACACAGCAATTTTTACTTAACTTTTAATAGACTAAATAGGAAAGGGTCAAAACCCGTAGTACTGGCAAAAGAATGCCGGACTACCGGTTTGTCCAGAAGGTGAACCAGAAATCTGACACATTATCGCAATTTCCGCTCCTTAGTGAGACGCCTATCTTAATTCAAAACCTCGATAAACGCAATAAAACAAACATTAAATGTTAATTCTCTTTCAAGAGACACAAGTTTGTTTTTCTCGTTAAAAATTTTAAAACGCAATACGCTGTGCTTATTGGGAACTGTACAAAATATTAAGATATACAGAGTCGCATAGAAGTTACTGCTTTCTGAATCAAGTGGAATTTAAAATACGTGAATTAAAATTTTGTACAAAACGGAATTTGAAATACTTGAATTTAAACAAAAAACTAAAGTTTTTGAAAGATTACAGTTTATCAGATAAAAATATATATATATATATATATATATATATATATATATATATATATATATATATATATATATATATATAAGATCTTAACAGAATACATAAACGGGAGATAAAATAAATTAATTAGTGTGACAGGGCCGCTGTATTTCTAGAACTCTTTTCAGTATATACGTACAGTAACTCCGTAATGAGGGAATGGCAAGTGATTTAAATTGATAAAAATGCCATTTTCATTTCTCTTCTATTGAGACAACCTTCCGCCAAAAACCTAAGACAAAAAAATGGCAATGTATTTTGTGAAATCTCTGAATGAAAGTATCATCAAAGGTAAAAATTTTCCAGCTTGTCACGCTAGTAACAATGGCACTTCCTCAGCGAGATCAAAAATTCTGGTTAATAATCGTATTATTACAAATTATAAACAAGTTAGATGTTTTAGTATGTACTCCATACACTGTTAAAAGAAAACCAGGTAAGGTACACATATCAGATTACACATTAAACAATTGTTTCGTCAACCCTGACGTACAGAAGCTAGATCTTAAAACACCAAAATACCCGAATCCCTAATATAAACACAAAAAATGACATTTCTAAGATGAGCTAAACGCTGTACCAAACCCTATAGCATAAAAAATAACGTAAAAAATAAGTAACAACAGTACCTAATACAATACGTGAAACGAAGCAGAATCATACACAAACCTAACAGCCATTGAAAATAAAGGTATGGGAAGGAATTTATGGGGATCATATTGTTGGGTCTTTCTTCTTTCAACAAAATTTGAACGGAAAAGCATTAAAAAAATACCTAAACGTAAGGCGATACCTTAATGAATTGTTTCCTAGGCAATTGGATAAGAAGGTTTTATTTAATGTCCAGCAGTTTTATTTAATGTCCTCGATTTAGCTACCCTTGATTTCTTTTTATAGTTATTATTTAAAAAGTAAGATTTATAATAACATTCCTGCCTCAATAAAAGATTTAAGACGACAAATAGTGCACGAATGTAGTCTAGTAAACCTTGAATTGCTTCAAAATGTTGCAAATTTTGTTTTAATATAGTTTTTGACTTACGGGAAAAATTTGAAATTAAAACTAGCAAAACAAGTTTAGTTTTTAAAAGTTGCAACACTTTCAATAAACTGATACTTTTTCATAAGAGCAGAGTTAATATTAAAAAAAAAATCCAAACATGATCTATTCTCTATTTAAAATTAAAGGTTTGTGGTACTGAAAGCGAGAGGTTGACAAATGACAAATGCCTATATAGTTAGGAGATGTCCTCTTTGGAATAAAAATCGACCTGTTTTAACATTTTGAAAAAATCCAATAAATATTGCCAAATATCGGGGTTAAGCCTTTTGAGTTTTAATGAATGTTTCGTATGTGTAGCTTACCCTATAATCAGCTACTGCAGTAATTTTTTGATCCACTAAGAACCAAGCGTTACAGAATAAATATTTTAGATTTTAGGTTTTCGAAATATTCCAGACACTTATCGTAGTGGAGGAAGTTTGTTTGTTGATTAATTAACTGTTAATAAAGAAAAAACAGAAAACAAAAGTAGATTTGATTAATTTTCTACTTACAGTAAAATTTCATCGGACTACTATAAATATATTACTTTTGCAGAAAGCTCATTCTAGAAATCAATTCAATCGGCCTTGTAACCCACATCACATAATCGTCTAGAGTTAGTTATTCAAAACCTGTTTGCACCTCACACTTTTTTATTTTTAATAGAAATAATAGTTGCTAATTAAGCATCAATATTTATTAACTCATTCTGTGCAACAGTAAATTATACAGAAACTAAAGTTCCGCTGTGCACCCGAAAGATCCTGTAGGAAAAAAACAAAATAAATTTATCAGCTTTTTTTTTTCAATAATGCTTTATTTTGGATGAATCTTGATTTTTACTATTATATTAAAAGAGATACATTTTTTTATAAAAGGATACATTGAAAAATTTACTCTATTAAAACCAGTGGCGGCTGGTGAATATTTTGTTCAGGGAGGCGCTGCGCTGATTCAAAAATACAAAACCCCAAGTCTACTTATTAAAATGAAGCTCACTACCTCTGTTTTTATCGGAGAACCATTTCATCATCTTTTTGTATAGAATAATGTGTAGATGTTTTACAGAAGAGACCGCTTGCTCTAAATATCAAAAACATCGTGTCATTAAAATCTTTCAAGTATGACATAATTCCAAACCTGCCCAAGATCAAACTAACGATACAAGTTCTAAAAATACAAAATAAAGTATTTTATGTCTCCATTTTTAGGCAGTGTCTACCTGAAGATACAATCTGTAATATGAAAAAAAAAAAAAACTAAAATTATAAAATAACTCAAAATTATTGTAAATTGATAGTTCTGTACTACGTATTTTAAAAATTATACCCTTGTCAATTAAAGAGTAACACTAATCTTCAAATGCACTGTTAAATGATACTTTAATTTTCTTCTTCTTAGAGTGCCGTCTTCCTACGGAGGTTGGCAATCATAATGGCTATTTTTATTTTTGAACTTGTTGCTCTAAACAAATCAATCGATCTGCATTGATACCAATCACGTAGATTCTTCAACCATAAGTTCTGCCTTTGGCCAACAGATCTCCTTTCTTGAATATTTCCCTGTAGTAGGGTCTCAAAATTTCATATATTGGACCCCTCATCACGTGGCCTAGGTATTCCAGTTTTCTGGTTTGTATAGCGGTGATTAGTTCTGTTTCTTTACCAACCCCCTCCAGTATTTCTTTATTTGTAATTCTAACAGTCCATGATATTTTTAATACTCTGCGGTATAACCAAAGTTCGAAAGGCTCAATTCTTTTTAAATTGCATTTTTTTAATGTCCAAGTCTCAGCTCCATATAATAATATTGAAAATATATAACAGAGAATGGTACGTAGTCTGATCTTCAAATTTAGATTTTTGCACGTTCGGAGTAGCTTTATACGTATAAATGCTGACCTGGCAATCTCTATTCGCCTGTTTATTTCTGCGATCATTGGTTTCATTGATCAAAGTGCCCAAGTACTGATATTTTCTACTTGTTCTATCACGTTATCATTGATTGTCAATAGGTGATGTATATTTTGTGCTCTTTTTGTAATTAGCACGTACTTCGTTTTTTTAGCGTTTATAGTAATTCCCATTTCAGTACTATTCATATTCATACTTAAGCTTTCGATAAGAAGTTGTAGATCTTCTGTACTCGTTGCTATGATCACAGTGTCGTCTGCATATCATAAGTTGTTAATAAATTTTCCGGTAACGGTAACTCCCGCTTTGATATTATTGAGCGTGTTTTGGAAAATTTCTTCAGAATATAAGTTAAACAAAAGTGGCGATTAAACACATCCCTGTCTAACTCCTCTACAGACCTTCATTTCTTCTTACTTACTTTACTTTATCGTGTCCGGACATGTCATTCATAAAATTTCGGCCCAGTATCAGGCTACGTCGGTTCCATCTTTGTTGGCGAGCCACAAATCTTCAAGGGTACATCGATGAGGACAATTTCTGCATGTAAGAAGATGTTCCATATTGTGTGTTTCTCCACAGTTACAGTTCACATCATCTTGGTTTATTTTTCCCCATCTTGCCATGTTTGATTTTATTGTAGCAACCCCCGTTCTTATTCTATTCAAGGTTTTCCACGTTTTAAAGTCTAGGGTCTGGCAGGTCCGTTGAACCTGGGGAAGTGGAAAATACTCAGGCGGTTCATCCTTCACTGTTCCAAGGAAGCTTTTCCTAGATTTTAGTCGCTTTCGTGGTGTTCGAGCTTTGTATAGGGCCTGCCGATCGTCCGTGATCTGTTTAATTTTCTCTATGTGTTCTGCAGCGTGTTGAGGGTTCTGCAAAACCCGCTGCTCTATATAGATTTGAAAGTGGCGTTGGTTTCATGCACCCCGTTACTCTTCTGCATGTCTCATTTAGCGCAGTATCAACTTGTTTGGTGTGGGCAGATCTGCTCCAAACGGGACATGCATATTCAGCAGTTGAGAAACACAGTGCCGGTGCCGTTGTTCTTAAAACGCCAGGACGTGCGCCCCATTTACTTCCCGTTAGCTTTCTGAGTATGCTGTTCCTAGTTGTTACTTTCCCTCTTGTTTTTATGCAATGTTGTCTGTAGGTGAGGGACCGGTCCAGAGTTACTCCAAGATATATAGGTTGGTTTGTGTGTTCTAATGTATTACCATTCCACACAATTTGGAGTTTTCGCTTGGCTTCCTTTGTGCGAAGGTGGAAAGCGTAGACTTGGGTTTTAGAGGGATTGGGTCTCAGAGAATTCTGCAGGTAGTACGCTGTCATTGTTTTTAACGCAGTTTCGAGTTTCTCCTCCACTTCTTCAAAACTATTTCCTTGAGCACATATTGCAAGATCGTCAGCATAGAGGAAGTGCTTGGTTTCGGTCGGAGTAGGTTGGTCGTTTGTGTATATATTGAAGAGCATTGGTGCTAAAACACTTTCCTGTGGGAGGCCGTTTTTTTGAACTCTCAACCTACTTACTTTACCCTCCAGCATAACGAAAAACGTCTATTTTGCAGTAAGGAATATACGACCTTTCCCAGATGGTGGTCATTGAGAGTATCGTATAATTTGCGGAGCAATGTTTTGTGCCTTACTGTGTCATAGGCTGTTGTCAGATCTACAAAAGCAGCCCCTGTTATAAGTTTTTCTTCAAAGCCCTCTTCAATGTGTGCTGTTAATGCGAGGACTTGACCGGTGCAAGATTTGCCAGGTCTGAATCCTCCTTGTTGTGGGATGAGGTGCTTGTCGACATTTTTTTCTATTCTGGCGAGTATGAGTCTCTCGTATAGTTTAAAAAAGTGACACAATAGCGAAATAGGTCTGTAGCTACTGGGGTCTTCTGGATCCTTTTCTGGTTTTAACAAGGCTATTACTTTAGATTTCCTCCATGATTTTGAAATTTTGCAGGTTTTGCAGCACGTGTTATAAAATTGCAAGATCCAGTTTTTTGCTCCTTGGCCTAAATGCTTTATTTGTTCACTGCATATATCATCCACACCTGCAGCTTTCCCGTTTTTTAACCTGTTCAGACCGTCGTGTAGTTCTTTTAGTGTAAAAGGAGTTCCTAAGTGGTTTGTCTCCGAATCCAATCTTCTCCTAGTGTTTGGGTCCTTATATCGGTTAGTAGTTCTTCCATTCGTAAGGAGTTGAGTAGCGACTTGGTTTGCTGTAACCTTGCAAGGTGGTTTATGTTCTTTTGGATCATCGCTGAGTTTTTTTACAAGGTTCATTTCTTCTGAGCGTTGACCATCAACTTGAACTATGACACTCTGGTTCCAATATAATGTTTGCACTATATTTATGATTTTACTGTCAATGTGCTTGTTCATAAGTATTTATATTAGTTTTTTATGTCTTACTATCGAAAGCTTTTTCGTAGTCACTAAAGCACAAGTGTAGATCAACGTTTACATCCCGACATCGTTGAATCAATATGTTGATGTCCTTCTCGAGTACCTATTCCATTGTCCATTGATGAATATAGTCCTTCTCGAGTACCTATTCCATTTCGGAACCCGAACTGCGTATCGCTAATATCTTCCCCTAGCCTTTCGTATATTCTCTCATTTATTACTTTTAGCAGTACTTTTAAAGTAAGACTCATGAGGCTCAGTGTTCGATAATCAGAGCACTCTTTACACACACTTTACACACCCACTCCTAGCACACTTTAATTTTACAAGAGCACAATTAGACGTTTGTGTCGTTTTTGTTACAGTGTGCTTTTTTTCGATTGGAAATGTTAATTCTTCCTATGAAGAAATATTTTTATAAAGGTTATGTTTGTTCCTACATTATTGATTTACTCAAATTACTGCAACATTTGAGACAACAAAATTTCAAATAATTTTAAAATTCTTCGTCGCTGGCTTATGGCATTACGTTGAATGTTATCAACTGTGTTATAAAAATTGTGCTCCCAAATAATTTTCAAATAGTAGTTATAAAAAAATGATAAGATCCACTCTAATTAATTTTTTTTTTCAAATACTTTTTTCTTGTTTTAGTTGACTGAGGCTGCTCCAATTGTAAAAAGTAAGTACATATTAATTAACCTTTGCAAATAATTAATCATATAAATGGCATGGACAATAATATAAAAAGTTATAATATGAAAAGTGCTAACCGCTTTAGGCCCTAGTTTTGCATGATTTTTTAAAGTTCTTATTATATATGTATAAAATTTGAATAGTAGTGAAGTAAAGGAAACTGACATTACAAAACTACTTCAGAACCTAGTAAAAATATTTTTATTTGTTGATTGAGTATTGGATTTCAAAGGTTTGTTTATGGTTCGATAATCTAACAGTTTTTGTTTCTTCTATCTACACAATTTCAAGCTAAAATAATATTTTTCTAGTAAAATATTATATATTTAATCTTAACTAATTTCCAAGCCAACATTTTCTGCAATAGTCCGACTATACAATGGTACAAATTTAATTAAATTATCGCTCTGTTTGTTCATATAGTGTTTAAAAAAATTCTTTCATTAATATGCTTAAATGAAAGGCCACAACCCTATTGCCTCTGTATTGCTGACAAAGTTGGAGGGTAGACGTATTCATCCCCCAGATTTGTTCATCGTCAGCCATTAAATCACCAAATCTGTCGTAATATAAAAATGTACACTGGGAAAAATGTTTTTTTATACGAACTTCTCAGTTAAAAATTAGACAGACATATCTTTTATGTGTATTAACATTAAATTGATTATTTTTTATTGTGTTTTCTCATTTTCATATACAACTTTTTTTTCATTATATAGTAAAAGAGCAAGGAGAAAGGTACTAAGATTAGGAACCTACTGTTTCATAGCGTGTATCGTCTTAGTGCATCTAGACTTTTGCCCCATGTCTACCTATGTGTTTCTCTCTGAGACTTTCCAATTCCGTGGCTTTGGTCGTCGCTTTTTCCCAGTTCCCTACGTAATCTTACCATTTCAGCCGTTGTTTTCTATGTCCTTTATAATTTTCTTTTTGATTGTTTGGTACCAAGATAATTTGTTAATGTGGTAGTGGTATACTTAATCCATGACATATTCCAACGTAATAATGCATATTTTGTAAATTGAGTTAAAAAACGTAACTGGCTACTATCGTCAGCAAAAAGTTCAATATCAAAGCCGTATATTTTCATTTAAAACCTAGTTTGGGTTGAGTTGTTTTAAACAGTGGAGTACTTTTTTTTAATGAATTATAAGAGGACGTCAGAGAATGCCTCGAAGACATTTAGATATTGTCCAAATGCAACAGATTGTGAGGTGGATCGACGAAGAGTTAACGCGACGTGAAGTGATTCAACGTTTTGGGTTTTCATACAGTGTTGTAAATAGAGCTTGGAATTGTTATGTCACAAATGGTGTAGCCTTATATGTTCATGGTGGAGGGCGACAACGGAGTACCAACCCTGTTGATTACCGATATATGCAAATTATTGCTAGACGGAACCCAACATACATCTACTGCCTTCACATCAACAGAACATTGCATAAAGTCACTGAAAGAATAATTTTAAACCAAACCGTTAGAAGAAGGTTGAATATGACTGGCTTAAGAGCAAGAAAACGTTTATCTATCCAGTACTAACCAGGAAACATCGCAGATTAAGAAGACTGGGATGAATAACACTGCAATTGGACAATCAGCGAATGGAGAAACTGTTTGTTTACAGATGCGTCTAGATTTCATATAAACATGTCCGATGGTCGTTTGGAGGGAACGAGGAGAGAGGTATAATCGTATAATACATTATAGGGTGCCTACAACTGCTTTTGGGGAAGGCTCTATTTGCGTTTGGGATGGTATTTGTTTTGACGGCCGCACTGACTTAGTGGTTCTGACAAATTCTACAATGATGGTTTAGAGATATACAGATATGGTTGTAGAACTTAATTTGCAGGTGCAATCGGAGAAAGTTTTGTCCTTATTACGACAATGCCCGTCCCCACCGTGCAAGAGTTGTGGACGAGATACTACAGCATCACGGTATTAACATAATGGAGTGGCCAGCTGGGTCACCAGATATGAACTGCGTAAAACATGACTGTTAAAGTCGTGCTATAACACGACAACTAAATGTGTGAATCCTGTGAATACGCTTTAACATTTAAGTGAAGCAAATATGGACAACATTGTATTAAAATTTTTTGAATGCATTAATTGGGAGTATGATTATTGAGTAAGAAGTTTAATTAGTTCAGGAGAAGATCTAACAAAATATTTTTTATTTTTTATTTGAGTTTTGTAGCCCAATTATCCCAATTATCTCGTAATTTTGGATTTTGTAGAAGACGTAAATATGCGTTTCAATATACTTTAAAGTTTTTAAATAATTGTTGGATTCGACCGTTATTTGATGGAAATTCATTTTATGTAACAATAAAACACTGAAAACTTTATTTTCAAACTTACACAAAATTTATTTTAACTATTATCACTACAGCTGTTTCGGCTGATTGCCTTTCTCAAGTGATCTATTTTGGCATGCGTTTACAATAGTCTCTAATGAAATTGGTTGAGGAAGGGAGAACTGTTTGTCTCAAGTTGGTCATTCAGAATTATATCTGTGTTTTTTAATTTGTTGATTTCCATGGATTCTAGCAAAGATAGCTTAAGGCCTTTATTTTGAATGTGAAGAATTTTAAATTTGTCATTAAAAGAATGATTATAATCTAGAAGGTGAAGTGCGTATGTCGAATCTGTTTTTCTATTATTAAAAGCCCTTTTATGTTCTGCTATTCGTTTATTAAAGTTTCTGCCAGTTTGATCGATGTAAGTTTTTGGGCAGTCGCCACATTGAAGTTTGTACACAACACTATTTAAGTGTTTTTTTTTATTTTGGCTCTTGTTATTTTTAATATATTTGCCTAGGTTGTTATTTGTTCGGAAAGCTGGTGTTATTCCTTTCTTTTTTATGTGTTTGGCTTTTTTGGTTGTTATTTTGCCTGTATATGTAATCGAGCAGAAGGTACTGGGTTTTTTCTCTGGTGGTGGAAATACTAATTTCAGGGCTTTCTTGTGTAGTTTTTGATTTAACATTTTATTAATTGTTTGTTCGTTGTATCCGTTGTTTACTGCTATTTGCTTAATTATATTTAATTCTGTCTCAAAGTTGTATTTTGACGTCGGAATTTCTGTTAATCTATGTAACATACTATGATAAGCTGAGAGTTTATGTTGTGTTGGATGGGATGATGAATTTTGTATAGTCGTGTCAGTATGTGTAGGTTTATGAAATATGGAGAAGTCTTGTTTGTTTTTAAATCTGATAATCTTTATATCTAAAAAATTTATGGATTGATTTTGTACTGTTTCTATTGTAAATTCAATATGATTATGAAGTGAATTAATATACGATAAAAATTGGCCGAGTTGCCTGTTAGTTCCTGTGAAACATACCAGTACGTCGTCTACATATCTCCACCAATATAGAAATTGTTTGAATACGGGATGTTTTGAAATCTTTGTTTCCAGATTGTCCATAAAAATATCTGATAGTAATGGGCTTAGAGGACCCATTATAAGTCCTGCACTGTTATTTATATATATTTGATCATTAAATTCAAAGTAGTCCTGGTTTATGCAAACTTTAAGAAGATGTAAAATTTCAGATGTAATTATTGGATTTGTACTATTTTGGTCTAAAAGGTTTTGTACTAGAATAAAAGTTTCTGTAGGAGGGATACTAGGAAAAAGATTTTTTACGTCAAATGAAATTACAAATTTCATTACAAAAGCTCTCTTAAGCTTGATAGCTTATTTATCGATATATTTCTCTATAGGCGAGCCCCGCCTATAGAGAACAACTGATGTTGATAACAACTGACCTGTTGAGTTGTTATCAACAAGTCCTCGAAGACACTTCGTCTCAGGACCATATAACCTATGTAGGGTCATACGTCGCCATGTTACCAAATCCAACGGTAACTTAAACCTCCTAACTTGTAATTATATATAATGTAAAACAACTACAAATTTGTAACATTTAACGGGTTTTGACCCATATATTTTGGTGACTCATAGCATGTATACCCCGTTAACACTGATGATGGAATTAACATTCCGAAAACGTTCTGTAATGTAATTGTGATAGCCCGTTTGGGCATTTTATTATATACCTTTTATAAACGATTTGAAATAAAAATTTTTGTGGTATATGGTATACAGCCAGCTACAGGAACTTAGTTTCCTAGTGAATTCTATTCAAATCAACAGCTGTCTGGTTTGTTTATACCACTTTTAGTAGTTTAAATTTATTCCGCAGATGTCAGATACTTTGTTTTCAATTGCGAATATAGATTTTTGATTTGGTGTGTCGCTTGTCAATAATAATCGATTCGAATCGATGAGCTTTTCGATAATCATTTTTTATTTTGATCATTTCGGACATTGTACAGTTTAGAGGTACAATGCTAGAAGTGGACAATGTTTTCCATGCAAAGCTAATATTGTGCAATTTCGTGTGTATTATCGTTCGTAACAATAATACACACTATATCAAATTTGGGTTCAAAATTCAAAAGTGCATCAGATCTACACAGGTGAGTAAATTTTTAGTTCTGCAGGTTAAAAAAGCGTGTTAGATCTGTCGAAAATCCTTGCTATCGGTTTATCGAACATTTATTTTGTTGTTATAATGTTTGTGATCAGTGGAAATACATTTTATAATCAGTTTTCATCGGAATAAGAGATTATATATACTACTTATTTACATATTGTTTAATTTATGTTGTTTTATCTGCAATACGTGCTAATCAATCATTTATACGCTTTTTTAAATTTGTATATTATAAATTATATTATCTATAAAAGAAAAACAATTTCGTAATTTAAAAAAAATAAAACTAAATCCCCCAAATAAATTCTTGCGAGATCAAACACAATAAATTTGAAAAGACACCTCGGACAATGTTGGTTTCTTTTTATTTGTCCTCCTTTTCCTTCAAGTCTTTTATTCCTTATTCTTTGAATAACCGACGAAATGTTTACAAGGAAAACATCTAGAATACGGATATTACAAAAGTTTTCTCACAA